ATGGAAGTCATGGGAACTAGTTTCCACTAAAATAGTTATGACTGAACTGCTGAAAACAAGAATTTATTCTGTAGTTCCTGAGAAGTCGTTCTATGATATATAGTCAATGTTTCTAACTTATGAAGAAGCTTACATCCAAACTCTTTAGTGTTGTCGGCCAGTAATAGCCACATAAATCTTGGATTTTTACAATTTGGCAGACAAAAACACTCAGCATAACGGTAGGGTTTTAAGACTGATCCGCATGAAGGACATCTACATCTAAAAATACCTAAAAACTAGGAAAAAGCTTAGTAGTTTCAACAGGAAATCATCTACGGAATAAAATTGAATGCATAGAATGCTATCAAGAAATCGACAAGAAATTATGGGGAAGCAGAGAGTTTGTAGAACTGGGTCTGTATTCAAATATAAAAACACATATTCAAAGGTAATCTGTTGTTTGGGTTTCTAAATAGAAAACAAAAAATTAAGTTTAGCAGTATCACTAGTAAATTTTATGTTACTGACAAGAATACATTTAAGTAGTATGTAGTATAGCATCATTAGTGAAAGTCACAACAGCAGACGGTCGGTCAACTGACAGATATTCTGATGAGAGGAAAAGAGTGGAGTCATAACCAGGATAAAAGTTAAGTGAAGTGAGAGAAGTCGAAAAAAGAAATGTACTTTGAAGTAGGACATAAAAAATCTATGCAAAAACAGCATTCATAATCGGGCTATAGTATTTAATCAATACTGAATATAAATCGCTTTATAAACAATCCTTTACTGTGTAGATCATTGGTGTAATCACTGATAACTCCGACTGTAAGCCATATTCATCAATGTCTTCATCTGACAAAATACGCAAATTTTTATATTCTCTAGACAGAAAATACACTCTAGTGAATCCTACGTAGTGTAGCTGCAAAATTTCTGCATTTTTGATGAGTCTGTTAATCCACAAACAGAGTTTGCTATACAGTATTACGAAATGGTATAAGTAATATGTTGATACCAGGATACTAAAACACTGATCAAATGACGTCTTTAGTCAGATGAACCCCGACGGACCATATGATGTCAGCAGAAGAGATGACCAAACAAAAAGGAGTTATCACGAGCGGATAACGGAAGAGGATCACGAAAGCACTGCCCAGTATGAAGTAAAAACCAACAATATGGTTAATGCTAGAATACACAATCCATAGCTGCTCTTTACGTAAGCTGATTCAATCAACTACAAGGCTTCTTCAATAATTCTACAACGACACAAAAACCTCTCATTAGAAAATACCAACGGTGGTTGTAGCCAGATTTTGACTTAACCTCGCACAAGCACCGTGCAGCTAACTATCCTCAAATAAGTACTAATGGTCAGTGAATTCTAACTAATTGAATGAGACTCAACCAACCTTTATAGCCAAGCATTTTAAAATGATGTCATGTGGCTACTACAGTTCGAAAAACCTACTTCTTTCCGAGACATCTCTAAACCTCTATCCATGATAACTACAGAACAACGAAAAAACCAAGAAACCCCGACTAACCATAGTAAAAAGTTGTTTCAAAAAACCCACACGTATTAACTTTAACTGAAAGACTGATTTTGACAGACATTTAAATATACCTGAGTGGCAACTGAAGCTTACAGGAAAATTTCGATTGCAACAGTAGCTTTATGCCGAGCAAATACTCAGCTACAGTCAAGCTATATACCAACAGCCTTTACGAAGTAGCTACTTTCCACATTTCTTATTTCAAATCCTGTTGTTCTTTTCCAATTTACCAAGAGAACTAAATATAGGAAAAGTAGATTTTATTTGCCATTGCCTGTATTTAATGGGTCATTTATTCTTTCTCCTTCCTTTGGAAATACTACATATGCTGAATTTCTCACCAAATGTAGTGGTTTAAGTTGTAAGATTTTAAGGAGAAATCGTAAAGTGAATTCAGTACAGGTCACGAGTAGATTTTGTATTCAGATCCACTGGAAGCATATACTACTGTTAACGCAATGTTTCCCAACCAGTAGCTATGGAATACGAATATTCTCATTCTGAAACAATAATGAATGAATAACCACGGTTAAGGTGACCAAGTGCATCAGAATGGAACAACACTGGGAATATGGTAATTTTAAACAAACGAATTTCTCTCTCTTTCCAACACTACTTCATACTCAACTGAGCCGTGGAACCCCTAGAAGATGAAGCCTGGTCTGTGATTGAAAAAAGATGAAGTTGAGTTCTGAGATTTGAAAAGTTGACCAAGTTGATTTTCAAATTTTGAAGTCTAAAAAGTTCCTTATCCTAATAAGGGCCCATTCTCAGCAGGTTTTTAAGCGCGAATTACCAAAGAACCTGAAAGTTGGGGAATTTTCAGGTACTTTTCAAAAGGTATGAAGGATCGCGTGGATGGTACTGAATTCACACAGTACTTATAATTACTCAGTTGTTTGACAATCGAACTATGCAGTGTTTCTCATCCATCTCAGAATAATCAGGGAAAAGGTGAGTTAAAAGCCCACAATGATATGGTCATGAGTCGTAACTTCCTTTCGATCCAATTTATGTAGCAGATTTTGCAAAGCTACATAAGAAACACTACTGGTTTATTTCAGTGGGATTGTTATCAAGCCCGGTGCTAAAATGAAACACTTTATTTGTTATAATAGTAACTACAGATGGTTCAGTGCATTTTGGCATAAAATGAGAACCGGAATAAGTCCGTAATGGTGAAACTAGTGCATAATAATAACAATGTGTGAAAAGGAAATCAAAGTTCACAGGCATTTCTTATATAGATCAACAGGAGTGTTGTGGAACTGGTGAAAATGGCTCAATCATTTATTGACGGAAGTTAAAAGCTGTGAACCATTGAACTCCGAGTCAGTTTGTCATTTGATTCCTTTTCAATTGTGAATTCGATATCGTCGAAAATATCATTAAGTTGCAAGCGTTTTTCCAACTCGCTTCTTTTAATGATGACAAACGAATCATCCACGTAACGGATCCATAGTTTCGGCTTGATCAATTCCAATACGACAGTTTCTAATCTCTGCACTACTGCTGCTGCAATTAGTCCTCATGTAGATGATTCCACTGATGTCCCATTTTTCTGTTTGTAGAGTTTGCCGTTGAATTGAAAATTTGTAAGCCATAAATCAATTAATTCCGGACAGAATCAAATAACAAACTGGCATTTCTAAATGTTTTGATCACTAGAATAGATTTGGGGGACTTGGAAACTGAAGTAAGTATAAAGAAAACTAACTCACACGGGTCAAATCCTCAACTACAATAGTAACAACCCAACAACACACAAAATCAGTTGCATAAAAACATTGTTCAGAAGAGCGAAAACAACTGTAGTACATCAACCCTGCGGAGCAAAGAAGAAAACTATTTGATAATTGTCTTTCAGAAGAACGGTTATTCACTCAACTTCATCAAAATATATTTACATAACTCGTCATCGAACAAGAAGTCATCCTCAAAAACTAACAAACGGATAATTACCCCCTCATGAAGAACGTCTCAGAGATCACAACTGGATTATTAAAGCCTCTTGGAATCGCTGTATCTCACAAGCCCACAAAATCTCGTCAGTCTCTGTTATGCAGGTCAAAGATACAATAGAAAAAGAAAGTCAAACCAAACATTATCTACAAAATAAACTGTAGAAACTCTGAGAAACATTACATTGAACAGAGTGGTCGCCCTCTTCGCATACGTCTACATGAACATCCACTAGAAGTGAGGCATCATGACATATCTTCGCTCATTTCAATGGATACAGACAACTTTGAGCATGAATGTGACTGGCAGAATGTGAAAATTGTGGATAGAGGAAATACAAAGAAACCAGGGAATCTTTAGAAGCTTGGTATTCAGGTTAGTCAGCAATCAACATACATACTGACACCGACCTAATCTATCAGTCAATAAGAAACAACAAGAAAGTCAAATTTCAGGTCATCAGGAAAAGCAGCCGAAATAAATATGAAGGCAATGGCAAGACTCTGACGGAAACAACCAGTCACACACAAGGTCATCAGGACAAGCTACTAAGCCACTTGTGGAGAAAACCACACAGTTCACTTCTTTCTGAAGTTTGTGCTGATGTTGTCTAGAGTGACAATGAAAGCTTCACGACTAAGCCATCCAGCTCAGAGAACACAACACTATCACCCTCCTGAGCTACAAATATCCTCCAGTATAGTAAAATCATTTGCTGCTTTCTTGAGTAGTATCAAGTAAACATTCTATTTATTTTTTAAATGGAAGAATAAAAACAAAAACTTTCTACAGCGTAATAGCTACGCCAATGGCTATATTACGTATAATTGCTGCACTGTATTGGTTTCAAAATTAGTAGTAAAATTGATATACATGAAGGTAACTTATGTGAAAATAACTGGGGAAAATCGACGTGCTGCATAGCTATTCCACTGTGTTCCGGAATCATACAAAAGCGTTCACCCATCAATTTTTCAAAAATCGCAGCGGTTTTTGGAGTACTCGATCTGATTATAGTGCCGGACATTTCCCGACCCTAATCACCTCATGAAATGGTGAGTTTCATAAACAGGTGTTATAATTGCTGTCTTATTTCAGAATAATCATTTATCTTAACTGTTCATAAGAGACTACATATTAAAATCTAAGCCCACCTCTCTTTAAAAGGAAAGGATTACAGTAAGCCGTTTACTAGTATTCGAGTTATAGTTACTCTTCGCATTATAGTGTTTCTACTATTGTCCTTTCCTCTGATGCTATGAGGTTGTAAAGTGTTGAAGCACTATTCGTTTGAACTCCTTGGCAAATAACCAACTTAACTCTTCAAAACTAGAGGCTCGGATAACTGAAGAATTAGGTTTTTAATTTGTCGAAGTTCTCCACTTTTTGTAGTGATAGGTCTGTAGTATAGTGTTGCCAATCCCTACTCGCCCTCTTCTCAATCATCCGCCTTCATCTTACTATGTTAACCAATGTTTCAGTAAGCAAACAAATGTCTTAATAACAAAAATGTTGTAGGTTGTAGAAAGCAGGCGGCTGAGGTGCTTAAACAGATAGGCATATTTCAGCAATCTTAAAGTTGGTTTTGTAATGAGTTGTGAAGGCCGACAACAATAAGTATTTCTGAATTCGAAATCCACGCATGAAATACAGAGTTCTACAAATATAAACCAATTAAATTATTTCGTAAAATCTTAGTCAGTAGAACAATTAGATAGGATTTTAAAAGTTCAGAAATAAGATGACTTTTTCGATGAAGCCATCGAATATATATTAAAAACATTCCAAAATTCTTAACACAAAACATGATATGAATAAAACTATATAAAAAGTGTATTATGAAAGTGTTTTTGAGATTATTAAAATTCTTGATAGAAAAGAATGAACAAAAGAAGCCATAGTTTATATCGATTATCACAATACAACTTTGTCAACATGTTCTTCTAGTTCACGCATCACTCGGAGAACGATTTCTTCATGATATGGTTTACCGACAACTTGAACAGCAAGTGGGAGACCTTCAGCACCTTCCAATAAACTGAACACTTTTGATGCATATTTGTTACCCTCAAAAGAGAATGACTGTGCCATTTTTAGCGATTCTTGAATATCAATCTTAGTAACACTACCTACAGGTACTGTCCCTGCAGGACAATCCAACAGATTATATAAAATGGTGTATGCAATCGAAGGAGTGACATAGACTGATGATACATCTTTTGGAGGGGCAGGATATGGAGTAGCAGGGCAGATAAGGGCATCTAACGGACCAGCATCAGACCAAGCTTTGAAGAACCCATATCGGTAAGTGTTTATTTCAGTGATTAGATCAATGGCCTCTCGACCAGTTTTCAATTTCTGTGTAGCATGCGCAATCGCCGATGGTTTTCCATATGCTAGCCTGGAAACGATGTCCGCTAGAGGCCTCAGAAAGTTCGGAAAGCGGAGTAGAAGATTAAGGAAATATAAATGAGGTCCAACAGGCTCACCATAAAGTTGTTTTCGAATTGTTTCCCCACCATCTGCAAATAAAGCACGTAGTCCCAAAATATAAGCTTGGTAGGGATGAGGAACAGTAAACTCTACGACTCGGTGACCTATTTTCTTTAAAGCTGTAACTGCTTTTTTGACAGCCATTTGATTCACTTTCAAAACTGGAATGATATTTGGATCAGTTAGACTAGTATAATAGCCAATGACTAAATTGTGTTTGCAGGTTCCTGAATACATTTCCTCATCAAATGACATAGGTATTACATACGAGTCTAAGTTAAACATTGCAGGAGACAACAATGTACGCATCACACGGACTAGATCTTCTACTTTTCTGCCCATTGGTCCAACACATGATCTCAAAAAAATTACAGACGAACTCGGCACTATGCCTGAAATGCTCAATCTAACTGTTGAGGGTTTCAAGCCAGCTAAGCCACAGAAGGCAGCAGGTATTCTGATACTTCCAGCAAGATCTGTCCCTATACCAATGGGAGAACCATGAAGAGCCAGTAGTACACCCTCCCCAGAAGAACTTCCTCCAGGAAGGCGAGATTTAACAAATGGATGACTCACTTCACCATATACAGGGTTAAAACCATCTAGAGAACTACAAAGCTGAGAAGTTACGGTTGTCACAAAAGGAACCGCACCAGCCTTCTTCAAAGCTTTGACTATAACGGAATTCCTTCGGCAAGCTTGATTACATAACTTTATTACACCAGCTGTACAGTCATATCCAGAAACAGAACATGTCTCCTTTATGCTGACTGGAATCCCGTGTAGTGGCGATCTTAGTTTCTTATTCTCTAACTTCTCGAGGCTAATGGCATGTTCTTCTGCTTCTCCAATAAAATCAGCAATACCTGAATTTCCGTCATCAAATAATTCCAAGGCTTTTGCTTGAAATGCGTGCAACAGCTCAACCGGAGTTACATTGTCCTTTTGAATTTCTTCGCATATTTCTGATAAGTCTTTGTCCACAGTATCCACTTGTTTTGGTAAATTTGCTAAATGCTGTCTAATCTTTTCTACATTTGTTGAGATGCGTGTTTTCTTCCTATTGAGTTGTGTTCTTCTGAGATATAGGCTCAGAGCCTTAGTTAACACACTCCAAAAAATAAATCCCACACTGGATACAACTAGAAAATATTTGCATGAGCTTCTAACAGAATGGGGTGTGTTTGTGATAAAGATCTGAAGTGATTGCATAACTTTCATTTAACATCCATAATTCTAAAAAAGAAAACTAAGGATTTATTACATGAAATATAAACCAAATTATGAAAATTATACACAAATGAACAACAAACATGTAAAGGGAGACGATAACGCTAGGTGGTTAAAAATGAAGTAGATTCGAATAAGTAACTGAATGTTCCAAAGCCAGATGGTCAGAACATTATTACGTGATGGTAATAACACTCATTGTAGCCTTCAAAAACCGTCCATAATATCGATTTCTTCCAAAACTTGTCCACTAGTGATTCCGATTCATTAATTACTATATGACCAATCAGTTAAAAATGAAAACAGATTTCTGGATAAAACCGGTAGAAAAGGACTGAAAAACTGAAATTAGAAATGCAGTAGGAAGCCAAAGTACGAAGAGGAAAGGAGATAGGGCAAACAATGGAATGAGATATAATGGCTGAACTGTTTACAAAACGTAGCATACTTTTAGCGACTACAAGCAACATCGCCTACGCTCTCCAAACGCTAATCATTCCAATCAAAAAGCCTCCAGCCAGAAAGTTCACATTTTCCCACATATCTCAGATTGAGTCAGACAGTTCATAGCTTCATGCTACGCTTTGGTTTAGTTGACTTTAACACACTGATCTAACTCCACTACGCCTAGCATCACACATTTGAGTAGACGGTGATTAGCCATGTGTAACAAATTTTATGCTGCTGCGTCGACCAAGACTAACAACCTCATCAGCCGACTCGTTTTTTTAGGAAAGACCCCACGCCTAAGCTCTATATTGAGATCATGGTGGTTGCACGACAAACGGCCAACGCCACGAAAGCTACGGTGGTTGAGTACCTGAAGGGTTCTCACCTTTAATGATTATATTTTTACAGCTACATGTTAAACCAGTCTCTCAGTTCCTACTCAATTTTATCACTACGTGCTTTCGAAGGTGTCCCTCTCGTCGTCTGAATTCGCAGGGATTTGTCCCATCAAAGGAGAATACATAGTGGATCCGGAGGACGTAGTCCTGTTAGGTGAAGAGACTGACAAACTACAGAGCCTTCTGGATCCATTAAATGGCCGTTTGAGATACGTTTTTTACCACCCGAATCCAAATCACAGCTCCAAAACTGGTCTTTGCTGGCACCTTGTTTAACATTAAGAAGTGCAATGTCTGAGCATGTTGACCACTGCTTACCTGGAAAGTCGGATCAGCTTTTGTAGGTCAGTGATAGACAAAACCTCTGCACCCATAGAAAAGGCTTGTTTGGTTCTTGTCAACTTATGCCATTAATGGGAGCCGTGGAGATATACAATTGTATATTAAGGGTCGAGTGTACCATGCTGCAGTTAGGTCTGCTCTACCATATGACTGTTAAACATAGCCATCGTGGTGTCATCATGTCAAGTTTAAAGATTTTGTGTAGAAAAAAAATTCAGTTGATGAGGCTTTGGGTCCTTACAGACTGAAGTGACTGAGACAAGTATTACACATTACAATTTCAGTTGAAGTAACCTTAGGCTGGATAAGAGGGTGGAGGTGGTCAGAATTATACACGAAACCAGTCCATGGAACCTTCGGTTCAATCTGGAGGTTTTAGGGGATTAATTGGTTTCAGATTGGTATTCGTCACGCACTGGCATAAGTTTAAGAACCAATGAAAACCTGAGAGCACTACATAGCTGCTTCATCCAAGTAAGTAGTGCGCATCCATGATCCCAACATGGTAACAGCCTAGGACCTTCAGGTTTTGTGGCAAGTAGGTTACCACTGACCCACTAAGTCGGAACCCAATGGTCTGCATTCTTCTATATCTGTATATTTGCAATATAGCGCTACTTTGATCCAATGCCATCGTTGATTATTTGTCCTAACGTTCGATTTCATTTGCCCTACAGGTCACTTCTTATTAGGAATTCAGAAAATCTCACCACGAAGCAAGCCACTAATGGGTGCTCTAGAGTAATTCGGTTTGTAAATTTGTGAGGACTTATTGTATTCAAGTTGGACTCCAACCCAATGGATCAATGGTCACGTGCTCACTACGAAATCTGAAGTTCCTCGGTTTGACCTCTGTCGAGATCGCGGTTGCCAATTGCTTAAGAGTCCCATGCTGGAACAAAACAGCTGTTCGGTGCTCCCAGGTCTCCAATACTTCTCCGACTGATGTCAGTTTGTGAAGGACACTGACCAGAAGTCTTTGATTTTAAGTCTGAGTAGAAGAGGAAAACGTAGATTTTGCGGTTGAAGTTCACGTGACAACAGAAATCGGTGGTTGGAGACTCCAGGTAATATGATTCAAAGTTGATCGCAACAGCGCAGATGTCTCCACACATTACCCTCATTTTACTTATCATGCTGAATTTTAGCACTGTTTAGTTTCTCACTACTCTGTTCTCACGATTTCCTACCGCTTTTGATTGATTTTTTATTTTCCATTTTAGTGCATTCTTGATATGCTGCTACGAGGTGTGGGAACACTAGACCCCTATGCAGTAATGACGGGTTTCATGTTCACTTGATACTTATCTCTATATTATATCCTAACAAAGCGAACTGATGTGCTGTGCAGTCGAAATTTAGTAGGTACACGAGCCCCTCATATGCGTGTCGACATTTTATCAGCGACTAACCTACCACAAATGATTTGACTTCCCAAATAAGTGAAGTGGTCAGTGCGCTCAGCCATTCTATGTTTTGTTATTCAGTGATGTATTAATGTAAGCCTCTTCTGAAAAAAACAATCTGCATTTATGACGTTAGAAACGCATCCCATTTTCAAATAGACACTTAATATCCAGAAGACCTCATATCTTGTCAGGGTCTTCATCCAATCGGACTATGTCGACTTTACTCTAAAATCTATCAAGGAGTATGCGATGACAATGGTGGTTCATTTAAAGACAGACGAAGGGAGACTAACATCGGCGTCTATGATACAGTTAAATAAGAACGGAAAAGTGGACACTACTTGATGTAGATAACTCACGTGATACCTCACTACGTGCTGTAACACAACCACACGTTCCATTACAACGCTTTTACTACAGTGATCAGTGACAGAAACTGCCATAAGATATCATCATAAATGCAGTCGAATGTCGTTATCAGACCAGCAAATACAGCTTATGTCGGGTGCCTCCAGTGAAGCTGTGGCTCATTGGTCTAAACAACACTTGACTTCTAGGTTACAAGTTCAAATCAACTCCACCTACCAAAGCCATGGCAAATAGGTGGCATCATCAGCCCTTACACAATAAGTATGGCTCATTGGTTAATGCATATAAGTACGTGTAATTGATGTGTTTATTTCGAGCTTTTTCGGGTGCCTGTATATCTGTTTGATAAAGGCTGAACGTCTGGTTGAGACACCTGCCTTCGATTTTAGTTTCTGTTTCTGAGTTTCACTTAGACTTGTCACTAAAAAACCAAGAAACTTAGATAATGTTCATCAGACTTATTAGTCTGTAGTTGTAACAGGAGGATTCTTCGCCTTTAGTTATAATAGTCATCGATGGAGACCAGTCAAGGGAGATCAGATAGGATTCCCACACACCAGATAACATCTTGGTCAGTTTAACCAGTAATCATAAATTACCGCTCTTGAATACCTCTGTTACTCTTCCTCGTTTGAATTTCATTACAGCTTTCTTAACTTTGGTAACAGGTGGACAGTAGTGGTTAAACAAAAGCAGTCACCCTTAACATATTCTTAAAGGGATGATGTATTATGGTGGCTTAAATCAGTTATCGGTGGTTAGTGGTGATCCAAAACCACAGGACGCATATTCGACTATATCTTCCATGATACAAGCCATGTCGTGGCATCAAAAGGCCATACGTGACTGGTCTGTAGCAAATCTCCCCTGGGCTCTACCAAGTCACTGTCTGCTTCGTCGCACAATGTTGGTCTAAGTAGGGTCAGGCTGGGAAAAAGCCCGAGGTAGCTAGACTTAAATACGGCATCAATGCATTAAGTCGTTGACTGTTCGTTTGAGCCATGTAGGGCGATTCAGGATAGCCGGTTGGTGTCTGCAGGACAAGAGAAACCAGTGGTTGGGGACTCTGGATGATCACATAGCTCCGAACTGATGTCAGTGGCGCAGGTACACATACACATTAACCACTATACTTAGTCTCATTATCCTCTCATTCTTCCTTCCTCCTCCTTACTAATTTTTACTCCTTTTCACCGGTTTTTGTTTCCTTCTTGATCTTCCATTTTATTGCCTTGTTACTTGATGTGCTGATATGAGATGAAGTAACTTGGAATATCAGGCAGTAATGCTTGATCCTATGTCTATCTTGACGATGATGCTTCCGCTCTTCGTTGTGCAGAGTTTGCAGGACTGCATTCGCATGCATCCATTAATTAAGAAACAATTGCTGAGATCCGCTGGCTCTTCTTATCTGCTCTCTGAGTCAGCTACAGTCATAAACGTTGCTTGTAAAACAAACTGGAGATGGCTCCAGGTGTGTTCCCCCGATAAGAGATGTTGTTCAGTTCTGATATCTATCTAGTCAGTTTCTGAATGTAAGCAGCCTTAGGGTTTTTACTGTTAATCTGCACTCGTAATGGTTTTGTTGCTACAGTTTTTCTACGTCCATTTATATGCGGACATACACATGCTGGGAACCACGCGTGGTTACCGCTCAAATATGTGCTCCAAAAGGAGCGGTAATTTTCACTGACTCTCCAACGATAACTGTTAGCAATATGGTCGACCTATGTCCACCGAAGAGTTGAAGTCGGTGGATACCACATCAAACAATATCTCTCTTTATGTCTCCAGTTCGTGCTGGCCAAAAAAATGGTTGTCTTAGAACAGTTGTAAGAGGTAGCCATAATCAACTGTTCGTCCAGCTGAAATTCCGAGTGTCATTTCAGTGCATTTCTGCTTAACTTAGCCTGCTCAGTTGTGTGTTAAAATCATCTGCAACGAAAACTATGTCTAAAAGTTTGGCTGTAAGTAGGAGGCTAGAAAGCTTACGCTGTAACTCATCCTTCATTTTTTTCGGAAACATACAGTTTTGGGGAGAAAAACTGTACTGCAGTTTCCTTCGGAAAAAAGAATTTAGTCCTACCTATCTTTACAAGTGATTTCGTATTTATTTCTTGACTCATTTCCTGATATTATTGTCAAGGACTAACAGACATATGAACGGATGTCGTGTTAGTATGAATTAAAAAATTCAGTACGATAACTGTGTATGGAATGTCAAACAAATACCAATAACATTCAACCTCGAACTAGATCAATTCACAACGAAAAAGAAGACGGGTCTTGATTCAGATTTTTGGGAATATACATATCAAAGGGTGAAATGAACTAAAAGGATGCTGATACTGAGTGCGCACTTTAGTTACCAAAGAAAATAAGTTCGTAAACACGACTCTTTGCATCATAATGCTAAAAAGTCAATTTTTTCACCACTACATTTCCCTTTGTGTATTATTAGTTCTTAACTGCTGTCAGTCCAGAAAGTAGTCAAAATATTGATATAAATCTGTATAGATTACACGGGAAATAATTTTTCCCGGAATGTTACTATCATTTTCCCTCTACATTTGAATAATTCTTAACCCGTATGCATTGCCTTTCTAAGTACGTCGAGATGGTGTCGTTAAGCGACCCGACTACTGCTATCAGCCTAATATCGTCCATAATGAAAAACACTCACGTCTTTGATGCAGTATGTATATACACCTCAGTCGGCAAATACTTCGACCGGGTAAAAAACGGCACTAAAGAATTTGGGAAAACTGCCGACAATGCATCATCGCGCCCGAATGTCAAACATTTCGCCCAAAAATTCCAAATTTATTAAAGTGCGCCCAACCTTCTTCCTCGAAAACGTCAAGAGTTCCAAAGTGCACCCAAACTTTTTCACTGAAAAACCCCAAAGTTCTTGAGTGAATCCTAAATTTTGACTTCAAACACTCAAAGTACGACTTCAACAGTTCTGAAACAAACAAACAAGTACGTCAATGCAGTCTCTAACCATGCAAACTACGTACATGTTGGTGTTACATATGTACTAAACAGGACTGTCAACAATAAGGTACATGGCAATCAGGTTGTACATGAAGTTATTTATTTACTAAAGTAACTTCATAAATTCGTATTGTACGATGTTACGTATCAAAATTGCATGAAAGGGACTTTTTAAACAAGACCACGCAAGAGACTGTTAGGACAAACACATATCCAACTCAAATATTAACATTAAGACCGTCTGTGCAGCGAAAAATATCGAAAATGTTTATCTGAATCTCAGTCCACGATCAAACATAACTTCGAAACTTTAGGCTTTATGCTATAGATAGCCACTTGGGTAGGTCACGTGACTTCAGAATTTTCATAAGTTTCGAGAGAAAAAGTCCTTGGGATACGGCATAAGACCAGAAATCGACTTGATATGACTATCAACTGCACCCCGTGGTACTTTGAATTAGAGCGAACAGGCACTTTCGCACATCAAATAAAAGAATTTTTATACTTTCTTGGTTTCTAAACCGTGCACCAAAACTTCATCCTAACGTTAATGTATTCAAGATCTAATAGAACATGCAAAAGTTACTTGACAACCAGTAACGTGTAGCTTAAAGTTGTGTTCCAATCCAATATATCCAATATTGACAGTGCGAGCGTAGAAAACTGGTAGTTTTTGATCTCTAGCGTCTAGTTCTTAGGGCTTGGTTCGAGTTGTTCGGTTCACTCCTGCAGTGGACGAGGAAATCCCCTCTGCTTTCTTGCTTTTAGCTTCGGTGAGGTGGATGTTTTGTGGGTTAGTAGGTTGTAATTTGTAGAGTGATTAGGGAGCTACGGGTTGCTGGGAAGTTTAGAGAACTGCCGTGACTCCTGTCTGTGTAGGTACCTGAAAGGGGATAGTAAGGTAGTGGTAAAGGAATGAAGAGAGAAATAAGGGAGAGAAAAAATAATAATAATGTAGGGAAGAGAAAAGGGAAGAAGAAAAGGAGGGGTGAAAAGAGAAATGAGAACGAAAGAAAAGTATTTGGGAATTGCCCGAATGGTCGCGTGGGTTTGGTTCCTACAGAAGAATTAGTAGGTAATGTGGGTGTATTAAGGAGAGAGATAGTGAGTGGTAGTTAGGAGGGAGTTGGGGGTACTGAGGTTGGTGACTACCTGAGTACGTCCGTGGTAGTCCATGCGAGGTGACATAACTGTCTAATCGCCTCTTGAAAGAGTCGATTGAAGGAGCTATAACGATGTGTCGCGGTAAGGCATTCCATAAAGCACATACTCTTAGGGAGAAAAATTTGGACCTGAGTGTGGTGTTGGCTCTCTGGTGTGCTATCTTAATGGGGTTTCCTCGTGAAGATCGTTCAGTTGCAGGCAAAATTGATTTGTTTGCATGGTCTGCCTGATGGGCGATCTTGTATGCCATAATGAGGTCACCCCTTTTCCTGCGATAACCCAAGGTAAATAGGTTGAGGTGTTTAAGTCTTTCAGGATACGTCTTTCCCCTTAGCCCCACAACACATTTTGTTGCAGTTCTTTGTATTCTTTCAAGGAGATTAGAGTCTCTCTTGAGTGTTGGAGGAGCCACCGTATTGAAGACCTCTAGGTGCGGCCGCACGTAGGATTTGAAAATGGTGAGGAAGAGTTCGGGAGTGAGGGCGCCAAGCTGTCTACGCAGAAAGTGTAGAATGGCGTTCGCTCTGGTTGTCATACCTTTGTAGTTGGAGCTGGTGTCCAAGGTGTCGGAGAAGTTGAGCCCCAAATCTTTCTCCATGGACACTCTGGTGATAGCACGGTTGCTCAACATGTACTGGAAGTCGGTCGTACTTGCCTCATTTTTACTGATGTGCATTACTTTGCACTTTTCCAGGTTGAAGCTCAGGCCATTTTCCGACGACCAGAGCTCGAGTTGCTGCAAGTCCTTTTGTAGTGCTGCACAATCAGCTTCTTCGTTTACCACCCTCCAAATTTTTATGTCGTCAGCGAAGAGGAGGATGGGTGAGGATATTTTGTCTGGCAGATCGTTGACAAACAGGAGGAACAGAAGCGGTCCTAGGATTGCTCCTTGGGATACTCCTGACGTCGAGGGTCTCCACTCCGACCTTATTCTGTTCACTTTAGTGCAGAACTGCCTCCCTTCCAGGTACTCCTTGAACCAAGAGAGTAGGGGTCCACTTATACCAGCTGACATGATCTTGTGAAGCAGTACTGTGGGTGGGACACTGTCAAATGCTTTGGCTAGGTCGAGAAATACAACATGTACAGGTTTTCTATTATCCCAGCTTTGTGTCCAGTCGTCCCAGGCGGTTAGTAAGTTGGTGGCACATGAGCGACCACTACGAAAGCCGTGCTGAGCAGTGTGGACAGTGTTTTCTCTATTGAGGAATTCCCAGATGGTGTCAGCTACCAGGCTTTCCAACACTTTCGACACAATAGGGAGTAGGGCAATCGGCCTGTAGCTGCCAGGGCTTTTTCTGTCTCCTCCCTTGAAGATGGGTGACAAGATGGCACTCTTCCATTCTTTAGGGAGTTTGCACGAGTCTATTGAGTGCTCAAAGAGGTTGCGAAGTGGTTTGGTAAGCACCTCGGCGCAGTTTTTCAGAACCACTGGTTTCAGGTTATCGCAGCCAGGGGACTTGCCCGGACGTAGCCTAGATAGCTTCTCGAACACCTTTTTCTCTGTAATAGAGACGTGACAGAGGTATTCGTTATTTGCGACCTGGTCGGTGTCGTAGCGAGTCGGTGTGGATCTTGTGTCAGTGCTGAGTTGGGCTTGGAAGTGTGAGCTCAAAAGCTCGGCAATCTCTAGACTGCTTAGCACACTCCCGTCATGGCCTGTGACAAGATTCACTCCCTTACTGGTCGACTTTCTTCTTGACATGAAGCGGTACAGGTTTTTGGGGTTGCTTTGTAACCTCGCTGCCAAGTTTGTTTGGTAGGAAAATCTGTCGTTACGCACTCTAATGTTACAGAGATTGCGAATCCTTTTGTAGTTCAAGAAGTCAGACTCCCTGCGTGATGTACACCACTTGAACCAAGCCTGCTTCTTGCTCCGGATAAGCCTCTCTGTCCCACGCTTTAACCATGAGGTTCTCATTGATTGTCTGTGTGTTACTTCTGGTACACTGTGACTGATGGCCCCGGTGATTATTTTCTTCACCTCCAACCAGTGTTCATCTATTGTGAGATGAGTCCAGTCCACTGGCCATGATGCATTCATGAGGTAGTCCCTCATGAGCTCATAGTTGGCCTTGCTGTAGCAAGGGAAGGTGTTGGACGTCTCCAGTTGCAGAGCCTCTCTAGTTATCATAAAGAAGGTGATTACAGCGTGTTAGCAATGCAATACACATAAACAAGTCTGCAATACCCAATATCTTTCAAGATTCTGGCGCTGCTTTTGAAAGGAAGTGTGATCTTACCGTGATTTAGCAATTTAGCTTTTGTTGTGTCTAACGCAACGATAGCCCCGGTTTTCAGGAGGAGTATTCTCTCGAGCTTCCAGTTCGATAAGTTTACCCTTCTTTACAGTAATTTTGTTCATATTAGGATAACGAGGCTTTACTTCTGTCCCAGTTTTGGTTTGATCTGATGACGTTTAGGTTACTACTCTTTTTCAAGCTTCTCCAGAATTTATATTTTAAGTTTTTTTTAAATATATACCTTCTTTAAACTTTCAACGAAAAAATGGTGGCCAGACAGATATGCAAGAGGTAGGGCTGTCGTCAACCTGTTCAGGCGGGTATGCAGTGTGACACGTGCGACGGATGGTTCCATAGGGCTTGCACTGACCTGAAGCAAACTGAGTACACCAAACTCAGTAGGCCCGGCCGCAAGTGGCATTGTCACCTGTGTAGAACTGCACTTGATGATGTTCTTGAAAACATCATCAGCATGCTATCAGGATTAAAAAGCAGACTGAAAGTAGATCATAAAAAGGGGAAGCTGGAAAACTCAAAAGCGGTGCCTAAGCAGGAGGGTTATGGAGCTAGAAAATCGTCTGGTGGAAAAGATGCTCAAGTCACTCGACAAGGACAAAGGTCTGGTCTGACGGGGGACATGATGCACCTCAGTAGTGCAATAACATCAACTCTCCTACAGTCCTCCACTCGGATTTTGTCATCGACGGATGAGGCGCAAAATGAAACGGCTGTACCAAACTAGGATGGTCAAGACGGAGAATGGGTAACCATTGTACTAAGTAATAACAGGCGAGTTTCAACTCCAGTCAAACCCATCGGATCTGGGAAGGTGAGAAACCCAGGGAACAAACCCAAGTTGGCCAATCTGGAAATCAGGGAGGCTAAACATGGGTCCTCAGTAAAGTGGAATGGACATCAGACCATACGAGTCACTAACCAGCTTGCCAGACAAGCAAACGTGTTGCCCACGAACGGGGCAAAGCTGGAGAGAAGATGAAAACTCAACAAAAAATTACCTGGCTTCAACAGTTGACAAGACATGCCAATGTCCCTAATGATTCCTTGATCGTCATGAACCTGATAAACAGCCCTGAACTCCCATGTAGCCTTCAGGACAAGAATGATAGGGTTCTTTGAGAGAACGTATGCAGAAAACTCAAGCTGGGCCACATAAAAAAGGCAGCTGCATTTAGGCTGTCTCGCGGTCCCGACCCAATAACTAAGGGCAAACCCCGTCTTTTGGGGCTCATATTCTCCAGCCCAGAGGATGTTGAGGATGTACTCTCGGCATCTCACGTGCTAAAAGCTGTAGCGGAAGTTAGGATACTTCCGGACATCCCGCATTCTGGGAGAAAATCTCTAAAGAATCTGTCGGGTGACAATCGTGACGCCTACTTCAGAGGAAGAAACCTAATAGTGAAGGCATACCAGGGAACCCAGGCACCGAGGATATTCACTACGACTCTCGCGATTGGAAGTTCCTCAAGAATGCTGTGAACCTGAGGGAGGTAATCATCCAAAGCGTCTCACGCATGCCCAAAAGGACGATGACCCCAGACCAAGGCTGATCAAAGCGGTCTTTCCGACCTCTCAAATGGCAGTATCCACACTGGAGGCTTTCCGAGGGAACAGAAATCGCCAGCCATCTGCAGTCTGCATGCAGCCTGATAGGTTTCAGCACGGAAGGCTGCAACAAAAGCAGAAAAAACCGGAACTAGTTGTATCTCTGGAAGACTGTCTAGATGCAAAAGAAGGGGAAGGGGTGGGGCACGCTACACTAGTAGTCAGCACTTAGGCACTTTCCCAGCCCCCCGCCTAAGGAGCCAGCCAGTCATTTGGAAAATAGAGAGGGTGCAGGCACTGCATTCCAGGTACAGAGCATAAACTGCGTCTACACTAATGCACAAAGTTCACTGAACAAACTTGACTAGCTGCGGGACCTAAGTAGGGACACTTTTGCTCGCCTTATCGGCGTTGCTGAGACATGGGCTTCGCCCGACATGTCAAACCAGGAACTGGCAATTGCTAATACCATGCTGTTTCGCAGTGGCAGGAAGGCTGGTAAGGGGGTGGGGTGGTACTTTACGTCAGCTCCTCTCTCTCGGCCCACCAAATCCATATCCAAGAACTGGAATGCCTTGAAGAGTTCGTTTGGTGCACCATAAAGCTGTCCAAGACTACAAAGTCCTTGGTGGGAGTCCTTTGCAGAAAATCGTCTGCTGATTCACAATTTGACAA